TAAGGTGATGGACTATTTGTGTTTTGAATATTAGACATTCTGTTTGGAATTTAGTGTGATCGTATGAAATTGTATTGTGACAAGTGTGGACGTCTGAGACATCACGACATACAACAATCAACAATCATTCCTCGTTCTGTCATTGTTCGTTAGAGCATTTTCACGTAATATATCAATTTTGATTTTGCGCATTGAAGGTGTATAGTCAGTATATTCTTCTTTTAAAGATATATTTTTAGGAATAATGAACATTTGTGTTTCAACAAGTCAACCCTAGATTACCTCATAATTATAAGCCATTATTTACCAGTAGTAAGTGCCAATATATTTTGGAGGTTAATGATATTGAAATAAAATTTCTAATACAAATACTTTGGTTCTATAGCCAATTTCAATAATTTTATGTCATGTTACTTATCGATAACCTTAAACCTTCAGAAAAATATTTTTAATCAATACCACAACGACATTTCATTGTTCATTTTCTGAATAATCTACTGTGAAAATTCAACAATGCTATCGTTCTAAGTTTCCTGTAAACATTTCAGATATTGCTTTGTTTCGCTTTTAACTGACTACCATAGAGCATTTGATCATTTACAAGTATGAATAAAATTTGGAATATTACATTTCAGTTGAATTTGTAACTTCGGAAGTAACGATTCATAATACGAATTAGTGATTTGTGTTTATCAATTTCACCTGCACAATTCCCGTAGCTGATTTGTTCATAGTAATATGGTTTTATTTTGGTGAAACAAAAATGTATAACAATGAATAAAATTTTCATTCCAACAAAATCGAGCTAGAGGCAAAGGCATTTATTTGTTGTTACATCTTTATTCTATTTTAAATAAGCAGTACGATTCTTCAATTTTGATCTCATCAAATATCTTACATTTTATTTATGACGACATTCTGATGCAAATCTGACGAGAACTGAAATTGTCAAATAAGGCTATTATTTGCGATTCTCTTTAATAAAGTTCACATTTGATGTCATTACACGAAGATAAGTTGATGCGATATACACATTCATTGAATTTACCCAATCCTTTACTTTTATAGTAAGTGCCATGATTTGACTTTCGCCAATAGTGTCTATCTAAATTTTGAATGTTGAGACTAATCTAATTGGAGATCCGCTAAGTGTATGTACATGAATCCCGTTGTTAAACTCAATCTGGTGTTTTGAATTTAGTAGTCAGTGCACTGAACAACAACGAGCTGGGCAAGACGTGTATCTATACTACCTGGACAGTTATTTCCTTATCCAAAACTCAGTTGAGATCGAACGGTTGGACGTATCACTCTGTGATTGCCACAAGAGGACTGTTGTCCTTTGTTTTAGACAGCTGTCTACCGTTGACTATCGGCTCTGTCCTTTCCATCGCTCTCACTATCGCTACACACCACTGGTCGCAATAACTGCGCTGAGCTGTTATCAGATTTGCGTGAGCCAGTCCAGACAAGATAAGTTTTTCTGCATCTGTAGTGGAACGCTTCCACGAAGAAAATACGATTTGTGAAAAATAAACACTACTGTTCTCGTTCCGTCGGAGACGACATTGCGATTACGGATCAGCAACGGCAGATATCCGATGTTCCGCCTCCGAACTTGTATACGACACGACATTGCATCTGCCTGGGAAGTTTTTTCAACCAAGGACCAGCGATTTTACGTATATCAGATAACGTCCAACGACTATCTGAGTAGATGCGAATATTGCCCCCGGTGTGAACTCGAATATAACATCGACAAGTCGCTCTCCCTCGAGAGTTATTTACCTGTCCGCATTCGTCTTACGAGTAGATTCAGTACTCAACAACTTTAAGAAGTATCTTTTCACGTGATCTCTCTTGACGGAAAGACCTTCAAGGTTGATAGACACAGTCAGCATTGATCGTCTCATACCAGCGCACGTCAGTGACAATGCCCTACCTCGTATATCGAAATT